AGCTAGAGGGCCGCCCCTTTCGGCTGTCCGTGACGCTTATTCAATGAATTCGAACCTAACCTCCATGACTGGAGGCTGTCCCTGAGGACGCGCCATGCCGTGGTGACAGAAACCCACAGACATGGAGTGTTTGGCTGTACCAGTATTATTCAACTGGGTTTGAGTCTACGCGGAAAGAAGCACTCACAGTAAAAGGACATTTTTTTACAAGAATGGTGATGAACGCATACTGAAACCAGAAAAAACCTTTCAGAATAGAATATTTTAACCTAATGGTACATGAAATCAAACAAAATTTAGAAACCCAATTTGAATCCTTTGCAGAATTTGTTAATAAATTCTGCGGTGTTTTTGAAGTGTCGAACGTAATAAGAATGTCGAAAGAGGACATTTTGAACATTAGACATACTTTATTATGGATATTTCGACAACCAACTTAGGTTAACATTTGTTATAATTTGAAGAGCCAGTGTTACTTTCAGGATTTTGAAACATTGATCAATGAATTAAAAACAGTTCATATTATGAATAAGAATTAGACATGCCAGAATTAACTTGGAGAAATGGAGGAAAATCACTATCGATTCCTGAAATGATCTGTGATCGGTAGTTGTTGTGGTAATCAAGCAGAGTCTAAAATATCATCCATAATCACTCTTCCGCCTAACAGTGTGCCCCGTTAGAAAAAGAATTTGACCTGACATAATATTTTACTTGAACTTGAAAGGCCTTGAATAAAATCCCGACGACTGCTAGACCATCCTCGGTTCTTCTCGGTTGCTTCAACGAAAGAGGAGAGATTGCTTAATAATTCGAAAACCTAAAATGAGTTACGGGGATTCATTTTGAATGGAAAACATCAGTTTAAGAATAAACACCAAGATTCTGTGTAAATGATACCCGTTACATTTCTCCTCATTAAAGCAACCGAGAAAACAGGATATAATTTGCTGTTCACTCTGACATAGACGTAACTTGAATTTTAATACTTAATTCATGCACGTAAAATTGTACAAAACATTAATTAAACCCTTGTTGTATTACTTTCGAGTGTTCAAGAACTCCTCTGTGGTTTGTAACATGGAATACAGCCAGTTAAGAATTATAGCTTAGACCACGGTATTTCCCGAACTCACCAAAAACATTAATTTCACACCTTTCGTTTGACGTCACATAATATTAGCAGCCGTTAATAATCAATTTATTGATTGATGAGGGCGTCTGGTTGGTTACTGCTCGCCCCGCAGAACGAACTAATGTTTACACCCTTTCGGCTAGAATTTGTGTGTGATGGGCAACTTCCCCTGAAGTTCATTACAATTGATTCAGAAGGTTATCTGCCTCGCCTTTCTTTAGTGTCGTCACCAGCGTGGAAGGCAGTTGGCGTAAACTTATCAATTAATATGCCACTCTATTTCCCCTATATATATATATAGTATATCACCAGCATACAGATACTGCCGAGAGCCACAAGGTTGCCGTGGTTAGAGTGAGGGGTTCGACCTCCGTCCCTACTGTTATTAGGAAGATACGATCAAAGACACTTTTCGTCTTTGATTAACTTTCACGGTTACAACCTCCGCCAATGAAAAGCTGTGAGGGAACAACTGAAGGTTGTGATATTAGAGGTTCTGACGGCGGTAAATATAAAGATGGCTGTCTTCTGGGTTGTTGCCCCGTGTAGTCTGGTAGAAGTTTACCAAAGTTTCAGAGGAGCTTGCTGGCTCAGTCATCAGGGTTATATAAGTCGCCATGATGATTTAGGCAATACATACGTTAAGGGTATTATTTAAATACTTTAGATGGTCTGACGGTTGAGAAACTTCAACATGTTTCGGGTAAATATGAAACCTTCTTGTGTAGAAGTTGCTCAACCACCAAAAGTGTTTAATAATAATTTAGATGTTATATTAATACATAAATTTTGTTTTGTTAAATGGTCACAAACTTCAACTGTTTCACAAGTCATTTATTTAAGTATAATACAAAAGATAAAGGACAAACGAAGAACTAGCAGAGGTTAAAGAAACTGTTCTAATTGAGGTTTAATTTTCATGTTTAATAAGTCAAATAAAATGTCTGTTTTGTAGAGTGCGGAGTCCGAAGATAATGCTGATATACGAGAGCACGAATATTTCTTGTGCTCTCTGATAATCATCCAAATAGTGATGGATCCATTCGTGATGACGTAATCTGCCTTTTTATGTCATATCAAATAGTTCACCATGACTACTGATAGATGGCAGCAATGATAGTTCATATACTCACTGATAGATGGAATTACTGGTAGTAGCATGTTGGCGAATGATCATTCCCTCCCGCCCTGATGCCTTCACTCATACGTCACGTCGGAAAATCTGAGTGTAGGAAATTAATGTTACTAATACGGAAAAGGTTGTAATGGAATAGACCTCATTAAAAACTTCATGAAACCCCGAGCAGATATTCTGGAGTTACTACATGCAGCAAAATGTGTAGTTTGCACTACAGCAGAGCACGAGCTTGGCTGAATAGTGCGACCGACAGACGGAAACTGAATCATGGTGGACAAACACCTGGAGCAGTAATCTCAGAGGACTAGGCCAAGGACAGCAAGAAAGCATGATGGGAAAACGTCTGGAAAGTGAAACCCCGAGGGACGAACGATGAGGTCGGCTGGAAGCAAGTTTGTGGGAAATTGCCGAGGGTGTTCACAGTGGTACAGGTCACGAAGATACCGTAACCCTGTGCACGGCCAAGCCGCTGGGGCAGTACAGAATTGGCATGCCCTGGGTGTCTAACCTGGGTTCCTGGGATCGCAGTGGTGCCCATAGCCAGCGCAGGCGTAAGTATGAGTTATAAAAACTTGGAGGCGGGCAAAGGTGTGGGAGAGAAAGCTCTAGGAATTACAAGCGCAGGATGCAAGGTCCCATAGAGTAAATATTATGTGGAAATGCGTGGGTGGTAAAATCCCAGTGGTGGAAAGTCGGGTTGGGAACAAATTTGGGGAAGGATTCACAGGCGTGTCCCCAGGGGTTGCAGACCTGGAACATGCACCAGTCTCGAGGGTAAGAAGTCACTCCTGATAGTGGAAACCCATCAATTTTCTGCAAATGAGGGCAAGGCCATGGATTTTGAGAGATTTTTGGGGGGGAGGCAAGCGTGACATAGCCTTGGAAGAACGCCCCGAGTTGGGAAATCGCTGGAAGCCAAACCTTGAAGAAAGCGTAAGGGGAAGACTAATGGAGTGACGCCCACGAAGGTGGTAAAGTTCTAGGGAGTCCAGCTACAAGGAGCAAGTCTTGAGAATTCAGTTCGAAAAGGGGGGGGCGAAACTATGGAGTCAAAGGCGTCGAGAAAACGAGCAGACGCCCCTGGGATTGTTTCAGTCTTTGATAATACAGTGCTCCCTCAATTTGCAAATTCCATCGATTGACGACATTTCATTTAATGACCCGCCTCCCACTTGATCTCATTGTTTACATTGGCGATAAATTTCAGATTAACGACGATTTTATGATATCACACGGCCCCAAACTTCCGTCAGTCCAAGCGATCATAGGTAGATTCGGCAGATCTCAGCCAATCAGCCGCCCCTTTTATGAACAGGTGTCTTGCCTTTCAATGTTTGTTGTGCGTTGTTTGTCTTGGAACTTATTAAGCCATTAACATATATTTTCTGTATTTGATTAGACGTAATTTAAATTAAGAATGGTTTTCGTTGAAGCAATTATTATCGTTGACCAAGGAACGACAAACACCACGTGATGGTGACTTATCCGCTAGGGACGGCCCAGGTTTGGGCTATCTCTAGGACGCGACAAACAAGCAGATGTTCTGTTCACTTGTGCTCCCACGCAGACTTCTCATTACACGTGCTATTCTAGAGCCTTCTTTTTCAGTAAAATACCCAACATTTACTTTCATGTGTCACTATAAACTTCTTTCTTTAAGACACAACACCACTTTGCTGTTGACATTATATCAACTAACTAATAAATCCATATTACAAACCTGAACAAAAAAACAGCCATGTCGCCAGTGTCTGCATGGTACAGAATTGCAGCTACATGGATAATTTTTGAACAATCTGTACATAATATCGCCTGCTGAGAACAATAGTGACGTAACTCAGAAAACACCGATTTTGAGTTATGTCCATAAATAGACTAAATTGGTTTAGAAAACGAAATAATATGTATTACGTCATTATTACCCCACAAAGTCTTTGAAAGTTATGCATCACGTCATGCATTATTGACGTAACTCAAAAAAAATTCTAAAAAATAAGCCAAGAAGCAGAAAACTTACAAATTACAATAATTCAAAGCATATTGTAAATAAAGTAAAAGGAATTACTCGAATAAGTTGTATGGCGGACGAGGAATGAAAGATTGAATTTGCGCCAAAAGTTCGAAGGCATTTCTCTCGAAACTGTGATTTCTGAGTTACGTCACTATTGTTCTCTCTGGACATGGGTTTTGACACCGTTAAACATAACTTTTTCGGTGACATTCCTTAGACTACATTCGATATCGCTTTTAAGAAGCCATCGATAGATACAAGCAAAATCTATTATGACGTTCCAGTACGGAACAATGAGCCCGAACCACGATTTCCATATAAGGGACAAGGCAATAAGCAATGCTATTAATAGAGACATTTTAGTTGTTACCGTGGATTTACAAGCGCCTTCAACGCCTTGCCTGTCAACTAAAATTTTCATCTGCGACAATGGTCCTGCAGTCACGTATGTCTGGCTGGAATCAGTTGGTTCAAAGGAAATGGTGAAATAGCCAGTTGTTTATTACAAGCAAAACAGTTTATAGACTACAGTTAACTCCTGCGTAGGGCAGAAAGAAATTTCCACAGTGATGAAGCTGTGGTTGTTTTCATAAAATAAAGTACAGATTTCTTGCAACTACCACTTCGCGATTCTGACTGATGATATACGGTAATCGGAAAGGTTAAGAGGAAGTTGTTTTTCATCCTTGGCAGTAGAATAAATTAACAAAGAAGGGTAGAATTAAGCATCACTGTAATGCTATTAAAATGGGTAGGTACATTTCAGAGATTTTGGTAATCTGAACAAGACGTTTACCAAAAGGAATATTATTGTTGACAAGCAGATAGTGGAAATAAGGAAATCTTTTCGGTCTGGGTTTGTGAAACATCGACACACGATGATTGTTAAATATTATTTAAATAAAATTGTTCCACAGAGCACAGTAAGTTTGTAGAAAGCGAAAGGTAAAAAGCCTCTACCAGTGAAATAGACAAAATGGCAGAAAGAGACAACGATTGGGAAGACGTAATCTTTACAGCTCACAGGCACACCAAAGGCGTTCTTTACGCAGCATCGCGTAGATCGTTGTTGCACTAATGCAATCCGATTTAATTGTTGCTTCTTCAGTCATTGTACTAAAGCGATCCCGGGGCCATTGTTGAGCAACTTAGTCTTCTAACAAAGGCCTTAGGTAATTCTTGCGCACATGGCCACACAGTTGCACAGCAGTTGGACAGATGTGAACGAGCGCATACATTGTTTCTCGCCCAGGCTATAACGTGACGAACACCCAAAAAGGGTGAATTATGAGACTGTGCAAACTGTAAACCAAAATATTAAGGATTACTGTCAGAATGGAATCCAGAAACCTGCTTTCCGTTCGGTGCACGTGATATGATAACTGGTGTTCTCTGGCGGTGAATATGACAGTTGTGCAGCTCTGCATTATGAATTCGTTTAGTCGTGTTAGCGAGTGCTAACATTTCGCCTTTATCCTCGGGGTAAAAGTGTTCAGTCGAATGATGCTGAGATATACGAACATGGATGAAAGCTGTCTTGTATTTTGTGCTGGTTACCCTTATCGAAACTTTCGTGCACTTAGAAGGGACAATGATAAAATTACCCTTGGATTTGCACTGTCAGTGAAATGAGAGAACATCTCTAACGTTTTACAGCAGATTTAATTTGACACAAGATGTCCTCAATACAGGTAACTTCATTGCACGGTCCAACAGCATAAAAAAATAATTTATAAAAGCACATGCATATGGCATTGTTACCTTCTGAATCTCGTGCCACATTTTGTGCCTCTCTTGGCTTTGCTAGATAATTTTACAGTCATAATAGTCTCTCTGTTTGCTTCACTTATTCATCCTTATTAAAAGAAGTTATTGAAGGTACAGAAATGAGTAAAACACATGCCCAGTTTAAATTTATGCAAATTGAGTTTTGCGTGGCAAACGAATTGGTGAACTTTTCGTTTAGAGCAGATTAAAGGAGCTTTACTGCCGAAAATGCTCTGCTCCGATATGTTTCAGATCCTAACAATCAGTTCTTTGCGACTCCCACTGAGTAGGTATTCTTCTCAGCCGGAAATAACCAGCCTACGCTTACCTCTCTCTTTCTGTCCACACAAAGGGCACCGCCCACATAAAACATATATAGCATGGTGCTCTTTCAGCTCTGCCACAATGTATTATTAGTGTGAATCCTTACATCAAAGAATTTCGTGTTCGGACGACTTGGGATAAAAAATCTCGACACGTTAAAAAACACTGGCGCTGGTCACTAACGCATTTGAACATTCTGCTCTATGTTGAGCCGTGTCGAACTAATGGTTCAGTCCTGATTGCGCATTCTGACTCTCTCTGGTGGGTGTGATGTGAACTGTTTGGCCAGTGTGTAACAAGCGCCAGGGATATTAGGAGTCTGGAGCGGACTTCTTAGAAGACTAGCGTTGGCAACATTCTGGTTTTGGCGCAGGTGCACAGGTTACATTTGCTTACTATTCAGACGCAGTGTATCAGTTGTCAAATTTCAGTACAGTTCAGGTGTGTTAAGGCCGCCATTCACGGTCGCGTCACGCCAGTCGCGGTTTGTTGTCCCTCTGTGAAGTGCGTGGTGTTTGCGATGGACGAAGAATTGGTACTAGCTACGGCAGTATGCCTGTATATTAAAAGGAAAAAACCTAAACGAAAGTGGTCAAAGCAATGGCTCTTAAATAGAAGCAATTTAAGTCCTTATGCTCCTTTCTGAAGCAACTTCTAAGGGAATTTTCTTTGTTGGCGGTAGGATCTTTGGTTTTAAATAAAACCACCAATTCTTCCATTGCTAAGCTTCTTTTAGCTTTATCATGATAGTCTTCATTACTTATCTGCCACAAACATGGCAACTCTCTATATTTCTCAATCACCTCAATAACAAACTCACGACCCGACATTATACAAGTTTGGACTTCACTGGACGAAGGCTCGTGGCAGACTGGCATGAGAATGGACCACGTTTCCGCCACTCACGAACCGATTTGGAGTGGCTCGATCGCCGATTCCCCCATTCACGATACGATGGCGCGATGGAGTGATGGAACGATCGGATGGATTATGGCTCGACAGAATATCCAAACGAGCCCACCACGCCACGCCAATGGACTTCAGTTTCCGCATTCACGGTACAATTTTGGAGCGACACCGCGCCATTTGGACGAATGGAGCGATCGTGAATGGCGGCCTTTAAAGTTCCACAGATCCAGTGACTGAATCAACACTTACTCGTACATTTAAATCATAGTGCTGCTGTAGCAATCAGGAAAAGATCCACCCTTGTGTATGAATGCATATTGCACACAATTTAAATTTCGAAGTTCGTTAACAATGTCTACTGGTTTAGAAACACGCAATGTCTCAAAAGCTATCTATGATTCTGTAATGAGGTGACGCTATACAGCTTGATCAGCTGGGTTCTTTGGATTAAACTCATCTCGGTCCCAGGACCAGTGAACCCAGACGGAAGCTTTCGAAAAGTGAGCGTTTTTAATTTATTAGATGATGGAAATTCAAAAAAAAAAAAAAAATATATATATATATATATAATGACACTTTCTGAGAAATACTTCGGTCTAACTGGCGTTGTTCTGCAGGCCGAGAGCCAATGGAGACGTCACTAACCTCTCCTCCACATTATAAGGAAATGGATACTTGAGGATAATCAATACTGAACGTAGGCAGAAAATAAATAGGCGATCTACTGCTGACTGTAACGGACAACCATTGTCTTTTAATATACTGCGGATATTTCTGAAGGTGACAAATAAAGAACAAAGTCCTGAGTTCAAACAAAGTATTGTTTCCTGTAGTTCTACAGAGCAGACCTAGGAGGTCAGAACAGGCAGGGAGCCTCCCTTACAGGCCTACAAAGAGAACCTGTACCCAGCCTCTGATATTATCACCAGGTACTCTGAGGCTTTTTCTTGTTTTGACAATCCTTCCAGACAAAAGCAGGAATAACACCTTCCTTCATATTTAAACTTCTGGCCTAACATGAAACTAAAACTAAAACTAAACAAAAGATTTTCCTCTTGGAGATACAAACCTAGGAAAATTATTGATTGTTTATTTCTTGAAAAATTAGTCACAGAATTGTCCACAATATTTAGGATGTTGTAGGGGAAGAGAGTAATTAAGTTTTCCACATTACAAGAATTTTCATTTCAAACAATTCAAGATTATTAATGGTGCATTGCAGAAAAGAATTGTTTTTAATTTCACTGGGCATTGCTAGTAGAGAAATAAATGGAAGCTGTTGTGGCAAAACAAACATAAATTTTACACATTCAAAGCTGATAATAGTGAATTCTGGATCTGATTTAGGCTGAGGCCACACGACTGTACAAAGTACGTCCGTTGTAACGAACGTCGTGACGTCCTTCATAGAATTATGAAGGGGCATATAGGGCACGGTCATGTGGCCCCAGCCTTAGCCATGTGTGAAGGAAAAGAGGAAGATGATTAAGAATTTCGCTTCACATGGGGTTCATGAAACCAAGGCCACGGGCCATATCACACTTGAAAAGTGGAGGATGTGGAGTACAGACATGTTCCTTGATACCAGACTCTTGTAATATAGGGTGAGTCAGAAGTATGTTTACAAACTTCGTGTGCGTGTTCCAGGATCAAAAATTAGAAAAAATGTTCCTTTGAACATGGGGTCGCAAAGTTTCATTTTCGAAATAATAGCCAAAAATAAATTTCAATGAATGATTTTATGTCAAAGTGAATCAAGCTTCCAGCAAAGATTTTTAACTAAAGTTTGTGCAAGAATTGTTGGCGACATGCTTATTGGTCCACACATGCTTTCACCACGTCTAAGAGGACCTTCATATCCGTGATTCTTAAGAAGACACTTGCCACGTCTCCTTGAAGACGTACCACTGAATACAATAAAACAAATGTGGTTTATGCACGACAGAGCCCCAGCACACTTCTCCCGGCGATTCAGATATTATCTTAATGAACAGTACCCTCAGCCCAGTAGAATGGCCACCGAGGTCACCGGACCTGACTCCATTGCACTTTTATCTGTGGGGGTCACTTGAAGCCCGCCGTTTATTCAACACCTATAGCCAATGATGACTACCTATGGGAACGTGTGCAGAATGCATGGCAGATGATTCGAGGAAACCCTGGAGTGTACGAACGAATTCGTCACTCTTGTGTATATCGTGCTCGTGCATGTGGAGAATGGAGGAGAAACCTTTGAACATCTGTTATATAGAAACATCCCTGTCCTTATACTTGACAATAAAGGCATACGTTGAAAATTATTTTTGGCTATTATTTTGAAAAATAAGCATTTGCGACCGCATGTTCATAGGAACATTTTTTTCTTATTCGTGATCCAGGAACACGCGCACAAAGTTTGTAAACATACTTTTGACTCACCCTATAAATGGTACAGAAGTCAGCTGAATCGTTCTACAGGATCAGTCTTTACCGAAGCCGCAATCCAAACAGAGATCAGACTGGCTACAAACTTTAAGGATTTATTTTACCAGATTTTCCTTCTTTGGGGCACTTTGGGTGACAGGAGATTGACATGAAACGGCTAAAACGGCATGATGGCAGCACTATCAGTGACAATGACAGGATATTTTAATACGCTGTGTTTGAATAAGTATTTCTATTATTTAATACTGTGACGTCGACACCTATCGACTGTTGCAACGGGCACTAAGTAAACCCTGATTTATTAGTAATAAATCAGTTTACAGCGTCTACACATACAGGCAACTCTCCAAAAACAGTTTCTGGGTCACTGTCAGTTGTATAACCAGTGCATTGTTAAACTTTCGAGATCTATAAGAAGATTTTATTGTTCAGTGTCCTCAAACGATGATCTGAAGAATGGTGAGGAATAAGTAAAAATCCCACTGATAAGAATAACATAACAAATGCAACGCTAACACTGATCCAAGGAGGTAAGTTGCAAGAGCTTCTATATGACAGTGTAGTAGAAGCCAAAACACCAAAACAGCGTGGATGTTTGAGCTTCACTTCGTGTCCTGTTAAACAACATTGAGCCTTGCCTGGATAAGATTTTGTCGCGGGAACAAGCACATAGAAAAGAGGCAAACAGTCAAAACTTGCAATTACACAAGTCTGTGCTGTAAACAGAGCTATCATTCATTCTCTTCATTCCAATTGGCTACTGAGACTGATTTTGTTGCCCTCTTTTTTGCCATGAAATCTCATTCTAAGTTTTTTTATTATAATAGTTACTGTAGGAGTGTCTTAATAGGAGTTACAATTGGTTATCTCTGGGGTACAGATATATTGTCAAGTACACAGAATGACTGCTTTGTATTGAATGATGTTAATTTCCTTCTCAATATAGCTGAAAGGACTCTCTGCATAAAAAATTTTCAGCAGAATAATGTTTGCTTGTAAGATTTGAGGTTTTCACAGTGGTGAGTATGAAGATTTCTGTCTTCTGGTTTGTTGCACTGTGTAGTCTGGTCGATGTTTGCCAACGTTTCAGAGGTTATTCATCGACTGATGACAGAGGCAGTATGATCTCTGAAACGTAGGTAAACATTTCCAGACTACACAGTGCAACAACCCAGAAGACAGAATGTATTTAAAATGTATGAGGAGTTGAATGAAAAAGAGGTTATGTTTGAAAAACATTGATAATAAGCTGCTGTTTTTGTAAGCTTAAATAGTCCTAAAATGTTTCCTAGACAATGCTGTATACTTCAGGTATGAGCCTATACTGAACAAGAATGACGGATTTAAATGTCGTGCTACAGATTGCCAGTTATTCTCCAGGATTTGAAGCATATGGCACTACAATTACAATGAGTTGGAAGATATGTATGGCCATTGAAGTCTAAGTAATCCAGGTATTAGAATAGATTCATAAGTTATGACATTTTCTTTAAAAGACCCTTTTCTTTTGTAGGAACGCCTTAAGAGTTAAATGCAAATGGTGCTTATCACAAGTTGTTGAAACTATTTTCCGTTTAACCTATTCTTAGGAATACATAGAAAAATCAAATACAAGACACTGTATGCCAACTGAAATGTATGTTTATTCTGAAACACTTTACTCGCTACAGGGAATAGACCATATACAGAACAACCATGGTGCAAGTGTTGGCAGCAGAGGTACAGATCCTCCTCTTTGCCACTATGGCCAGACCAGTTCTGTAGCCCACGCAGCCTCGTATATGTAATGCACACTCTATCCATCTGGTGGCAAGGTGGTGAAGAGTGTGTGAAGCCATATCTTCACTCCCATAAGTGTACATGGTGTAATGCTTATTAAACAACAGATAAATCTTTATCTTAAGAGGATTTGTCACATTCAGAATTGCCAATTTACAGAGAAGTGATGATCAGGGCAAAAGGCACTGAACATGCCTGATTTCCAAAGGCCCTGTGTATGGGATCAGCCAGATCCAGTTCAGAATTTTTCACATCTCTTCTTTCCATTCTCTCATGCCCAGCTCCTACCATACTTATTGACAAATGTGGTTAAATATATGCACTGATGCCACTATATAAGAACACAAGCATGAACGTGTATATTCACGAAATTATGTTGTTGAGCGAACCATGCCACCTGTGTTATGGGTACATAATATGTATATACATAGATGAGAACACTTAAATTACTCTGTTATTTTGTACCACCTGTGTGAATCTGTCTGCTGGAAAACAAGTTGTTGTTAAGTTTCTTTCTAAGGACAATTATTGAATTATGATGAAGTATTAGTTGTTTACGAAAATGTCTGTCTTTTGGCAGTAATAACACCACTGCCAGAGATGGAATTCAGTAATGGAATTCAGTGATTCCAAGTTGCATGAAAGACTGAGAAAAATGTTAAATTGAGATATTCCTGTCCATCCATTTTATTCATCTATGAAATGGGATGAAACCACCAATACAAAATTTTGGTAGCAGAAGACCTTGGTCCAGCTCATGGAACATCAGTGTCCTCTGGGAACCTCTGCTTTAGAATAATCAAGGTCATGATCAGTATTTTAGAAAATTGTTACATTGTTATTATCTTCCTTCTCACTTCCATTGAAAACTGATAGTTTCTTCAGAAATTAATATTTTAATCCAGTGGGAACTGAAAACAGTATGTAAGGAACTATGATTAAAATAAACAGAAATTACAGATGATGATAAGGCAAGAAGCAAATGAGTGAAATAAGAATTACAGCATCAAATTTTTTCTGTATTTATTTATTTTTTAAAGAAATTTATAAATGATTGGAAAGTCATACTGACTCTAAATATATATTATTCATAGATGGACTCACGCATCCACACAAAGGATATTGTTATGTATGTACTGACCTATGAGGCTAACAAGTCATAAAGTAAATGTGTGGTGAATATATGAGGAATTTAATTTTGGAAGAGATGTCCGTTTAATGTCATGAACGGTTCGGAACAAATGTACATGGCAAAACTGGTTCTTAATTACATGCAGCAAGTATAAGGATAATGTCTCACCCATAGAATCAAGCAAAACATTTCATATAAAGATACAGCTGCAGTTTGTTAGAAAGAGTGGAATGCATTATATAATCAAATGAGACACATAATGCTGTAATTTATGCAGACATTACTTATTAGAGTTCAACATAAGAGTGTTATAATGTTTACAGATGCTTCTGAAAATTGCTGTCATTTTTAAAAGCAGTAGAAGAGGTCATTGACACTATAAGTTGTTTTGTACACTAAAAAATTTCAAATATGTGCTGACCTGTTGTTGCAAGCGCTTTAATCAAACACTAAACCTCATACCACATGTTTCCTTTTTTAGTGGTATATGCCCTTCAGATATAACCTCAGCTAATTAAAAAATTAGCACTGTGTAAATGTTCATAACATGCTAGTTCTATTATGGTGAGGAGTTGTTAGCATCCCACCTGATTTCCAGCTTCCATCGATTTCTGGATGCCTTCTCCTCCTGGTACCCCAGGAAGTGCCATGCATTCATAAAACATGACTTAATAAATTTGTATTGGTAATGCAAATTACATTCACCTAACTCAGGGTGAGCTTCACTGACAGACTTTACACATAATGTAGACATAGGTTTAATTTTCATGGGCCAAGTCTACATTCTAAAACAAATATACACTTTAATCATCATGTCTTAATAAGACATACTGTCTTATCATATACACAGCATATCAGGTGAGTTCCAGTACATTTGAATTTACTTACTAATTTTTTTGGTTTTGTTATTGGTATTACAAGCTTGCTCTTACATAGCTCCAGTCCTGATGCCTAATGGATCATACTGGAGAGGAAATTCTCGGCAGTGTTGAAGTTCGGGATGTGATGAATTATATTTCAGCTCCTTCAATGTGTCAGATGTTATGCCTTTGGAATGCAACTTGTAAGATTAACAGTTATTTCCATCCCATGCAATAAATGATATTTATTGAAACATACAAATGAATATAAACAGATTATATGATAAACTGCTACATATTTGTTCATTTTTATCATTTTTAAGTTACTCCAAAATATATTCTTAAGGAATATGTTTTTATATCTGCAGGTGTGTTATCACTTGATTGTCGTGGTATTATGCAGCAATAAGGACAATTATGTGACATTACTAAATACATGTAGGAAAACTAACGCAGTTAGAACTCCATTCTTCACAGGCTGCATCCATCAAAGTAAGACGCAAAATATTCAGAAACACTTCCTTTACAATTTTCAATCCACTTGAACTGTCAGCAAATTACTGTAGTTGAGATAACATGCTTTGTTTTGTATGGCACCATGTTTTGACCTCAGGACTAGAACGAGAAAGGGTGGAAATCCTGGAAACAAAACTAAAATGTTAAGGGAATCATTCTTCAAAAGGAATAGTTGCTGATATATATCTTGGTGTTGAGAAAGGTTAAAAGGGGCAAGAGTATCGCCAATCATAAGTAGCAAAGTGATGATGCTGAGAGGCACAGCAGACAAATGGGTTGAATACTGCAAAGAAACTCTAGCTGACACTCAGGAACATGTGAATTAATTCATAGGATGAATTCACAATGAACACTTGTTAAAATAAACAATGCTTGTAGAAGCAAATAATGCTTGCTGTAACAGAACACAGCAAAAATATAATTAAGAGGCCAGTAGTTAGTGATGGTTTTTTGCTAAATACTCACTCACCATTCAGTCAGCAGATGTCTTTGTGGGTTACCTCTTAGAAGCTTTAAGTGATCAGGTATTTTGAATATTAATATTGGTATATGGTAAATATCTCTCTGTATTCATTTTAACTTTACTTAAGTGTTACAGTTTTATAGTTCTTGGAAGGTCTAGATGGCAGAAGCAGAGACTCTGGATGGAGGAACTTGATTTAAGAATGATAAGTGTTTCACTTTGTTCCCTCTAGAAAGATCTGAAGACTTTTTGGTTATGAGGTACTAAAATGCAGTAAAATCTATGACTGATTTTCTGATGGTAATAATGAATGGACGTTGCAAATGGTGTCATAATGCCGCGTTGTGTCTGTTTATTTATCATAATTGAAGGAATAAAGTTTTGATGAAATTCCAGTACAGTTTACAGTCTCTTACAGCTAAGAGTTCTAACTCTGTGTTGCTGCTTCTCCAACTTTAACATGGCCTTTGCAATTGTTCCCTCCTTGAGAGCCTTAAGTGCATCTTCATACTGACAACAAAGAGTTTGTCTTGATGCCAAGTTTTGCGTAGTCCAGATGCCTTCATACATCAGGCGATGAAATTAATTACATGTCATGACACAAAAATATGAAGAATAAATGCAGATTAATTGCCTGACACCTCCTGCAAAAAATAATATATGTTCTGATGATTCTTAATTGCATGCATTTCATTTAAGGATTGCGTTCTACTCCTAAAGTCAATCCAAGATGAAGCTCTTACAATCAAATGGTCACAATTGCCTTGGTAGTGGCTGGAGTGATGAAACATCAGTTCAAAAGTAATATTTGGACAGGAATAACAGGTGATGTCCTCATATCACCTTATGAGTTAGTGTTTCAACTCTCATTGTGTCTTATTTACATTTTCAATAGAATTACCTCAAATACTGTTCTATGTGCCATTGACAATGTAACAAACTGTGTGGTTTACGAATGGGGAAGCTCTTGTTCATTTTACCTGCAACTTAAAGCAGCTTTTGGACTCTCATCACACATATTGATGGATGAGATGAACCAAATTGACTTTGCAGCCTCTGTGGCCTGATTTTACATCTACCAACTACTACCTCTGGGGGCATCTGAAGGGCATAATTTACTTGGAACAAGTCAACATGAAGGACTAGCTTTGGCATTTGATTCTGTGGCTGTCACAACAGAAATTTTTCAGTGTACCAGTGCCACAGAGCTCAGTTGTGCATTCAAAGTAAAAGACAACATTTTCAGAAACTTTTGTGAATACTTAGCGAGCATTAAAATCCTGTTCAGGTATATAGAGTAAACAAAACCAACAACTATTAACACTATACTAGACACTATTGCCATAGGCGTTTCAACCTCAAGAGGTCATCATCAGTGGCATCAGGGAATTAATACATATAGTCAAATGGTTCGAACTAGATTCAGAATTAAAAATGAAAAGGTATTTGGCAAGAATTTTGAAGTCACACTGCACTAGATGCTGTTATTCACAAGAGTAAAACTTGCACTTAGCTATTGATCCCATTGTGCTGTGGCCTTAGCTGGTCTCGGCAACCTGTAGTTGCATCATCTGTACCTGTGAACTCCAGAACCGTGGGTGTGAGGTGTTCAGGTATTTTTAGTACAAAAATGAATCTGCTTCTAATAAGGTGTTTTACTTGTCTCATTTGATTTACTGATGCTTCCAGTTCTCACTAATGAAGAGTTTGCATCTGTGTGTTTATAGGAACTTTCTGGCTTTGTTTTAGGAATAGAACACAATCATGTTTGATGCATACAATTAAGAAGTAACTTTTATGTGTTTATATGAAGCAATCTACAACCATTGAACAAAGCATTAATCTAGAAAACATCCTATTGTTATATTTCAGCAGAATTACACAATTACTTTGTGATGCACTTGCCAATTACTTCATGTCATAAAGAGTTAACTTTTCCTCATTTTATATTTCTTTTTACAGTACCAATTCATGTACAAACTTTCACATAATATACCCTTCTTCACTTTTATGCAGTCAGGGTATTTTGCATGAGGCATCTTCATAGATTACATCCTTTTAAAATACATTAATATATCCACTCAGCCACTCAAAGTACTGGAGCCTACAAATTGATTTTGAGAAATCACTATTTCCAGGAAAAAGTGGAGAAAATGTGCTTTAACATTGAAATCAATATTTTTCTTCTCCAGTTGTGAAGATAATTAAAAAGCAAAATTTTGACATGCCTTTTTTGGTCACATGTACAGAGGGACATGAGTGGAACCTACTGAAAACATTCCAGACTAACAGTGAACCTTTTGTTGTTTTTGTATTGATGATTTTTCTAAAAGATAGGAGGAAAGAGTCAGCATTCTAATACACAGAGTTAAAACTCTGAGACTCTTCTGTCCCTCTATAACCTTAATATAACATTTTCTACTGTCATGTTTCCTTTGGTACAATGCGAGCTCTGGAAACAAATTTGTAAGCTCAAAACTCTATACAAGAAGAGAGTAGAGTAGATATTCTAATCAGTATTGTCCAAAACTTCAATACATGATGGGACAATGACATTTTTCTTTGTACCTAAAGAGACATTGATGACCCATTCCACTCACTTAAAGGTGAATGTAAAATTGTCTCTTTGCATAAGAATCATGGTTTGAAGGTGTCTGGAAGAAGGGATGTAACACTCCATCCACCCTTTCTCAGCACTGGATGGAGGTGAGTGATTAGCTTTATGCTCCAGGTGATTTACCCTTTGAAAAAGAAATCTAGGAATGACTGGGAGAATGGGTGTACTGCAGAGTCAGTGTGGACGTTGTCGATGATAAAAATTCTTGCACTTATCATTAATTGAATTCCAGCTATCCTTCAAGCCAAACACAATTCTCTCCAGGCTGGAACCTTGTGGCACATTTAAAGGATGTTATCGCGGTAGGTACATGTAGCTGCCCTACTGTTTTGTTCAATATCTGCCATTATGAGGAGCTTCCATGCCCTCCTCTTCTGTTGTGCTTAACACCTCATCATGCGGAGTCATCCAATAAAATAAACATTTATGCGGTTTTGAATGACATGATCATATTTAATATCGAAATGTTGTTTTATTTTAATGTTCATTTAAGTTGGTGTACCTGTTGTAGAGCCTTCCTTATTACCGCTGCCGTCGATCGAAATGGAATGTATTCTTACATAATCAAGGCTGTGCATTAACCTAAAAACACCCTCCTTTTTATCAAGTCTCTCCTTTTCTTCCCTGTGTTTCAGACGATTCTGGACACACCTTCAGAATCTGATGACAAATTGCGTGAGGTAAGTTATAATGGTGTATGTTACTAGTAAGTAAATATATGTGAAATCCGAAGTTTGTGACAGATTAGGTGAGTTAGTTCAATTGAAATAGTTTCGTAGATTTAGAAAAAGAAATAAACCTCACAAACATCAACAGGTAAACGTGGTCATTAACCGCAAGAATATTTCCGATATGTCTTTCATACCCTTTATGATATTTACAAAGTGTCTTGGGCCGGAAATTCAATAGCAAATGAAGGAAGGAAACTGATGGTCATTACTCATACAAGAAGCATATATTATATTCTTGGCAAGGCTGTTGTGCTTTTAGCCGTATTAACGATTTGTAAAGGGAAGGACACATCTTTACATGGTCCACTGCAATGCTCTAGTGAGTAATTTATAGTGACAATTATTGCTCTGTAATAGGAAACATGCTATTATGGTACAAGATTTAGGTTAGGTTAGTTTTAGGTTACATTTTTTAGTTTGCTTTTAAAAATAATTTGATTTGATGATTGTTCCATTCAATATCTGTAGTTGAACTAACTTTAAAGCAGTCAGGCAAGCATCCAATCATACTTAAATATTAGAGGAGGGAAGGATATTTTGTGACATTAGTTAGGCTTGAAAATGTTTATATGTTTCTGGACCTAGATAATGTAGCTTTAGTTCTCTGATTGATATATAGACACACACTGAAATGAGTAGTCATTAACATTCCATATTTGTCATCCAGTACAAAGATGTGATTTGACATACCACTGCTGTGTGCTGCATCTGTGAAATCTGAAAGACATTACAGCCATTTGATGTTAGTTGTCTAGCACATACAGGTGGCCGTTGGTCATAAAACTGCAGCAAATTATGGATGTGGTGACAATTCTACAAACCTGCAAAAAACACCCTTCTTACCATTATGTGTCTAGTTTGAAATGGTTGTTAATATTCCAGTTAGTTATAGAGTAACTAGGATCTGGATGTGCCATGTTTGTTAAGCATAAAAAGGCTTCATTTGCCATATAGAATATTTTCATTCACTTATACACACATCAAATAGGTTATTCCTGCCAGCATCTGTGCAAATAATCTTGCTGACTCTTTGTGTCCTGCATGAAACATACTGTTCACTGTATGTGGAACACTGCGGTCATGAAGAATTAGTTATTAAGAGTTAATTTTTTCTGCATCATGTAGTTGACCAGTTGTCTTCAAATGTATTCTCTGACAGTATACTGGCAGCACACAGCAAAAGTCTGGTTATTTATGTTTGTGTTGCATCTTTAACTAGAAACAATGAACTGTGATAATTTATAGGATTAGTGTGTAATGTTGGTGCCATATATACAGGAAGTCTGAGAATGAGTGTTCTCATTTTAAACATTTTTATTTAGAAAATGAACAGAGCTAGGAGAGTACAGTTCTCACCGCATGAAACAGCAACTCAGGAAGTTCTTTTCCCCACCTTTCTCCACCTCACTGTACTTCGACCTGAGCTCCCTTTGTTGTTCGCACAATATCCATCTAGTATTCAAAAACCTGGAAAGTGTTGCCACACATTTGAGGTGTGATTCATTCCACAGAATGGAAGATTCCATTTTTCCCATCTTGCAAACAAGTGACTCATGTGTGGTACACTTGATCATTTGTGTACCCCCAAATGAAGAAATGCACAGACGCTAATTCCAGCGATCTTGCAGGTCATGCAACAGGTCCAACTCTTCCATTCTGTCTTGCAGGAAACATTGTGAGTTGCTGTTTCATGCCGTGAAGACTATGCTCCTAGCTCTGTTTATTTTCTCAATAAAAATGTTAAAATTGTGTGCACTCTTTCTTGGACAACCTATACATATTGAATAACACCTCTGTTGCTGATAATTTTAACAAAAGATAAAAAAACATATTATTGGTGCATGCATATATTTTGTTAACATGTCATTTGTACAGTGAAGATCCTCATCTTAAGCATATGGCCCTGTTACATGACCAGACAGTTGGTCTGTGATGTGTTAAAGTTATGAGAAGAAAAATATTTTATGACACAGTCAATTAACAGCAGCATGTGAATATTATTTCACAATCCTTCTATCAGAAATTAAATGAAGGGGGAATTGAAGCAGATGCAGTAGTTCTTGGTCACTGAGATAACCTGTTTGAGCAGAGCTACTACTGAGTAATAACACCTTTTCACTTGTCTCATATTCTGACTCCTCACTCATTTGACATTCTCATTACTTTATGATTGATGAGAGTGTGATGTGCTGATATGTTGCGAGGTCTGATCTAACATTTAAATGATCTATTGTCTTTTAAGATGCCATCAACTTAGTCTAGAATACATTCACAAAGACGTCAGAGCTCAGATATTGTTAAAAACTTTTATGAAGTTAGGATGAGAGAAGCAGAAAGGGAAATTAATGAAGTGAATGTCAAAATCATATAATTAATTACAGCAAATGCAAACAGGAGTCCAAGCAGTGGAGATATGTAGAAGGTCCCTTAGAAGGATTATAAAATGAGAAGAACATAAGAAAAAAGGAAATTCATTTGGACTCCTATAAATAATCTTAAAACTTTGCATACTGTGCAGTGTATTAGAATATAAAATAAAATAAGCAAACAAACTATTAACACTATAAAAGAGACACTAGTGTCATATGCGTTTCAAACTCAAGAGGTCATCATCAGTGGCAACAGGGAAATTCATTAATTTAATCAGAATGGTTTAAAATTGGTCTAAATATGGTTTAGAAAAAAAATCATAAAGTGGAGTTATTTTACAAGAGCTTATTAAGCAACACTACATTAGATGTTGGTTTCACAGGAGTTGAACTCTGCACTTAGCTATTGATCCAATGGTCCGGTGGCCATAGCTGGTCTGCGGTGAGCTGTTGTTGCGTAGTCCATACCTGTGAACTCCAATGAAGCGTGGGTGTTACTGCCAGTTCTCAAATGTGTGGGGTATCGAGCTTATATATAGGTTGAAACGCATATGGCACTAGCGTCTTTTTATAGTGTTAATAGTTTGTTTGTTTGCTTATTTTATTTTATATTCCTATAAATAAGCATAATGTCCCAAATATAAAGATAAACAACAAAAATCTAGACACAAAAAATGAGTATATCTACACATGAAATGGAAGTGACCAATTCATACACATTAACTTTCATCACCTGCATTCCTCATTGTTAGGCACATTCCATCTGGACTTGCTTCACACTAGCAAACCTCTGAAGTTGTCCTTTATTTAAAGGCATTTTATAGCAGTTGTAATAGTGCAGTTTTATTAATTTCTCTCCACAACATTCCGTTATTGACCCGATGAAGGTTATTAAAGTCAAGCTGTCCCACTGCGTACCATGGAGGTAGGGGAGGCAAACCAATAGACCGTGAGACCAGCTGCCTCAAGTTCAGTTCTTGGGAATAATGAAAGAATGCTGCGCCACTCTGTATAATGTACAAAATTGCATATACTCTCCAGAGTGCTGAAAAGATAATAACTGTTTCATGCCAGAAATGTATTGAAGTATAAAAGTATATGTCCTTACATTCTGAATTAATTCTTATGTATTAACACTAAAAGGGGTAAATATTGTTCATAGGTAGTGTAAAGAAAATGTTGCATTGACTAGTTATGCTACACAAGCTTTTCAGTTACATTGGCATATTCTATAGTAAAATGGTACCTGAATTCTTAATTCTGGAATTCTGACTAATGTATGTTCTACGTAAAGGATCTTTTAAAGCCAATACATATTTATTTTGTTGTCGTGCTTTGTGAAAATTTGCAATCTTATGCCACTTGGGCCATTTCAGAGGAGCATGTTGCCTCCATCTTCAGGTTTGCAGTAGGATTTTGGTAGGTTTTTTAAAGATGTTACTAATTAATTTCAGACTTAGGAAATTTCAAGTGCCTTACTTTTGTTGCAGTGTGTATAGGCAGTCACAGTTCACAGTTTCTTATACATGCCATGCAACTGTGATGGGGTTGTAAAACCTTCAGACCTCAAGAATATAAGAAAATAACGATGCTGTGCCTCACTGTTTACTTAACAGCGAAATGATGTCACTACATTTTTCACTGATCATTCTATTACTAAGATATTTGATGAAGTGTGGAATATCCTTGTTTATTTAACACAGCATTACATAGCGTACTTTGAACCATAAGAAGCGAAATTAGATATCAGGCTCTCATGGAGATAAATAAAGAAGTATGCTATCTTCTGGAGTGTTGCATCATGTAGTCCGGTAGAAATTCACAGAAGTTTCAGAGGCGGTAAGCACCTCAGATATTTTAATCAGTTTATACCAGATACATGGTGAAACATCCGTATTAACCAATCACCACAAGAAGTAAGCTTCAATAACTCACGCCGTAATAAGAGTGCGAAGACATAACAGAATTACTTAAATGTTTTCATGTCCTCCTGTTTGGTGTTTCTGGCTACTTTGCCTGAAAGCAAATATTCTGATAATATTTCTTGCTTGGCAGCTCATGTCTTAAAGTGAAATGTTTTATGCAAAAATCAAAACCCAAAGCAGGGTGTAATGCCCCTCCACCAATCAAAGTATTTAATCATGTGCTAAATAGAACAATATGGTGACTAAAAGCAACCTAGATCTATGTCCTGTGCACATGATATGAATGTAATACCCGTGGTATTCTTGGTTTTGTGTGTCATAGAGCATGTCCATCTACTGGGACCTGTACAACTTTGCGATATTCCGATGTAGTGTCTAGATGGCAGGAGAAGCACTTCGCCATCTGTGATTTTGTAATTAGCGGCTATTTTGACACTTTTTACTCTGTGCTGAGAATACTTCAGGGATTGCTTTTTTGTGTTTGGAATGAATAGGTTTAAATAAGGTAAGTAATTTGATTTTAAATGTCCACCTACATTGACTGTTCCTTCTTTTGGTTGATATTTGCAATAAATTAGTTGCTTCAAATAAGATGATTATAGGTTATGAGTTACTTTGAATTCGTACTGCTGTTTCTTGTTCATTTGATAAAAACACTTAGGTGAAGTTTGTTTGATACTGATGCTTTTCTTACGTATATGTGGATGAAGTGCCCCTTTCATCGTTCGAGTCACCACTTGTCATTATTCCCTCGCCAATTGAACTCTGTTTAATGAGAGCCATTTTAAAGGAGTTATGATAATTCAGTTTTATTCATTGCTCTGTACAACATTCCATTATGATTTCCAGCTGTATGTATTTACCAGTATTGCCCCTATAAAAGTTGTTTAAGTCAAGTCGTCCTGCTACTTGCTATGGGGTCAGTGGGATTGTAGGGGAGGCAAGGCCTGTGTTTCTATATTTTCCATACAGAGTAAACTTCTAAATCAACCTTTTATTACTTCTAGTACTTGTTGAAGAACCTTTGCCTTCAGTATAGATTATAAATGTTAACATTGACACTTATTTCAGTTTATGTCTTCTAGTTGATTTTATTGACAAATCAATGCTTTAAAAAGTTGCAAAAAACAATATTTCTCTACACAGCAGAGAGAAAAACTGCCACAAATGGCGTAGACCTAGTTATGCAATTAATTACCATGTTGTTTTCACATACTTGTACACAATGCTGCAATACTGTTTGTGCTAATTTGTGAATTGAAAATGTTTATTGATTTTGTATAATGTGAACAGTTACATGATTAATGGGGCTGTATGGTGATATGTGGAGCAACTTAACATATCTCATCCCAAATATATATAATTATAAAGTGAATATACACCCTAAATTTTTTAATTTTCTGAGATTGATGAAGCATCACCTAGAAGGAAATTTTTCACAGCTGAACTGTTAAAGACCAGATGTTATAACTTATGATCCTACAACCACTAACAGATAGTCAGTAACAACAGACTGCCCAGAAAATTTTGAAGCGTCTTGTCTGCGCAGTGCATGGATTGCCTGGAAACAAGTCAAAAGTGGATGTAGGTCTGTTTTATGAATCATCAAGTGCAGGCAGTGCTTGTGTAGTGCCAAATAAGATGTGGCAGCCTGAATTGTACATTTTGCATAGAAAGATACATGGAAGTTGCTGTCGCCTATTTTAAATTTTGTAATATCCTGGAATTCTCCTGGAAATAGAAACAAAATTAAGTGAGAAAAGCTACCTCCAAATATGGTTTGAACAAAATACCTTCTTTATGTGAGTCTGACTTGAAGTAGTAAGCATATGTTCATTGGGGAATAACTGGAATACTCCAAACAGGAGATTTATAATTTTTTAGTGAGAAAGGAATATGATCACTGCTTTATTCAGATAATTTTTACTTACATAGAACACTTTCCTTTAGGTCAGTGCATTTTGTGTTGTAACCAGGAAGCTACGATGTGAATAGACGTATGATACCAATGCTACAGTGGGGCTTTACCACCCAGGTCCTTCCTGAGCCCCTTGTTGGGGCCTGGTCCCTGGCAAATGCTCTGGGAGATTTGCCCCATGGGATCCAGGCCTGGACACTCATGTTTCCATCATCCTGGTTGCAGCATGAGTGCAAGAATGACCTGTCATTGCTGGACATGTTGCTCGACAATATTATTGGACAAATCATCACATAACAATGGCCCATGGAAAACATTGGAGCACCAGTGTACCCCAAAGAGTACACCATTCCAAACATGCTTTTAAGTTTGCTTTTAAAGATAAATAGTAAGCTTATCAGTACATAGTGTGATAAAATCTCAAAGTCATGGGTGGCAGTAATGATTCCATATACTGAAATAACTGCAGATTAACCCTTCAGAATTCACTGAACCAATGGCTGTGACACGCAGTTTCATCTTGTCCAAAATTTAAACACCTGGCCTATAATGTGGCGTTAACATTGATAGAATTTTTAAAAATGAAATAAAAACCAAATCCTGTACCTTTATTTACAGAATTCTTAGAGCAGTTTACAGTTGTGTTAAGAATTTGGTTACCATACTATTATAAAGACATCCCACGGTGGTCTATCGGTTAGAACGCTGGCCTTGTAATCCTGGGGTCTCGGGTTCGATTCCTGGCGGTGCCCGAATTTATAACTTGTGTTGGGCAAGGCCGTGGTCTAGGCAACACGGAGTTTTCCTCCGGGGGCTTACCCGGTTTCTCCGTGGCATCCCAACAATTACTCCATTCACACACAGAAGAAGGCAATGGCAAACCACTTCTGGATTATCTGCCAAGAACGTATATGAACAGGTCCCAGTCCGAGAAAAGGATGGAAGGATCCTGTTCATATGGACCTGTCGTCAGACAGAACACTAAATAAATAATAAACACATAACATCAACATAAAAACAACATAATAGCACAAATAAATAAACTAAATAATAATAATAATAATACTATTATAAAGACCAAGGTTTGATTCCTGGCAAAGGCAGGGATTCCTCTGTTTGTCTTCACATCCAGGCTGACCCTGTAGTTCATTTAGCCTCCTGTAGTGATGGATCAGTATCTTATGCTGTTTCACAACTGGCAAGAGCATAAAGCTGATCACTCATCTACCTAGTTCCAAATTTAGGATTGAGTGGTGCTATTCCTCCATCCCCCATACACAATCATGTGGTGATTAACCTCTTGTATGTCCCATAAATTGTTTTCCCTTTAACCATCAACAGATTGTTATCCTTTAATTTATTGTTTTCTTAAGCATTTGTTACCTTCCGTCTTGCTAGCTTGTAACGTCTCAGATGCTCACTGGTCACGTTCCACGTATTGTTATCCCACCAGGCAATAGACTGGTGCCGAGTGGCCACATCCAAAACACAACAAATAATAAGTGAATCCTCAGAGAGATGGGGGTTTCTGTCCCAAGCAGTTAAGACAAAATAGTGTCTGGAATGAACAATAAGGCCACTGTAAATGTAAGGATCAGAACCTGTGTGAGGGGGTGATGTTAGTTCCCCCTCCCTTCACAGTTTTATCTTATAAAGCTTTGTTTTTGATGCCGAGTCCCGGGACATTTTCTACAACTTCTCTCATGGGCAATCTTTGCCCCACTTTGGACTGAAACCGTGCATCACCTCTCTGGGGGTCTTCTGATCTATACAAGTACTTATCATTCTGTAGCTCTATTCATTAAACTTATTCTTCGAAGATTGTTCTTCAGCTCTCACTTTTGAACGATGTTTCACCCACCATCAACTAGCAACATAAATAGCTGTCCGCTTAGCTATCTACATTATGTCATTTCAACTCCCGGATCAAAGGGCCCATGGTCTGGGATACTACAGAAGTTCATTCCTTTCTTGGACATTGTGTCTTTACTGAAAGATTTTCTAAATTAATTTTTGTTTGAATCATATAGACTCCTTTTAATTTTCTCCTGGATCATTAGTCTACTGTATTCATAATTTCTTGAACTTACATGTATAAAACATTGTTTGCCCCAGTTTAGTGTTTCTCGATCTATGGCCTTCCTGCCATTTGAGGAATTAAATTCAGTTACATGCATGGAATCCGGACTTCAGTTCACTGTACATGTGAACGCAGCATGCACTTTTTGCTGTCACCACCAGTGTGTCTGAAGTTGCAAGAAATCTGTGATGTCTTTTCCTCCCTTGCTATTCTTGGTAAAGCTGTGTGCCCTGATAAGGTGTTATTCTGTCAGTTAATGATGGAGCTGAAAGGTGAAGTATTATTTCAAGGACTAATGCAGCTCCAGTGTATGGATACATGCTTTCTCGTGTTGCAGCTGTACTTTACATTATTTGTTGTAACATACAGTCATATCACACAGATCCTACATTTTGCAAGTATTTTAATTGCCAAAGGTTTCTGTGTCATTTTTATACAAACCCTCTTTATACATTTTCACAAATTAGGGCATAAAATTATTGTTCCCCAGACAAACCTTAATGGGAGTTTGACTGTAACTTAAAAACACATTTATGAATAAGTTTTCTTATTTCTAAAATGACAGAAAGAGAAATGAATCCTCTTGTAATGAAACACTTGCAGTTGGTATGACTGTCTACTTTATTGTGTTAAAATGCATTTTGTTTCGGTGTACCCACCGTTGTCTTCTGAGATGCATCCAGAAGCTTCCCATTGTGTATCCTATCTCAGACAATGCTGATCGTACTTCTAGTAGCATGGAGTATAGAGTATGTCGTCTCAAGAACAGTTTCTAGTAGAAAGCAATATAATGCAGACAGTATGTAACATGTCATGACTCACAAACACATTGTTATATGCAAATTTCTTATCAGACACAATTTACAAGGATGGTAGCAGTGCTGAGAGGGATCTAGGATTGGCAAGTGTGTAATCAAGTATCACTTATATTTATTTGGTAAATTACAAGCGTCAAGGCCAAAGAATGGTGCCTTAGATTTATCACTGCAGTGAGATTATTGTGAGGTGGCCCTTGAATTTCAGAAATAATATTCTGTGTTGTTATGAGCAATAAAGTGGCACATATTTTAATGTTTCTTTGGTTTGACTGCAGTTGTATAAAGCATGGCAGGTAAAACATCTGTACAAATGCACGTGGAATGTGGCCAAGTTTGAAGGTGTGTTCTACACATCAGTTCACCTGGAAAAGCCTCATTTACAAGTTCCAGCTCCCATTTTCTTTCAAGAACTTTTGAGTCATAAAGTCATATGTGTATTGTTTTGTAGCAGTATCGGGCAATGGAGATGCAGGTGGATGCAATGCCAAGGCACAGCTGGACAAACTTTCAGCGATACACGTTTAGTATGTATGTAGTATGTTTTATCTCTTTTATAAATAAATTTAATTTATTTCTCTGTGTTAAATAAGTTTGTTGGAAGATGTTTATTATCCCTGAGGAATGGAAAAGAGGACTGGTATACCCCATATTTAAGAGAGGAAATAGACATGACTGTAAAAATTATAGAGGTATCAGCTTACTAAATGGAGCCTATAAAATATATGCAAAGATAATAACCCGACGACTGAATGTAATCAGCGAACACATATTAAGTGGAGAACAATGTGGCTTTCGGAAAGGACACTCTTGCTCCGATGGCATATTTACCATGGGACAAATAATATAAAAGAGACGGGAGTTTAATTTATCAACGTGCATATTATTTATCGATTACGAAAAAGCTTTCGACAGAGTGTCTCGAGAAAAGCTGTGGGAAATCATGTCAAAAAGACGCTTTCCAGAACATATAGTAAGAGCTGCGCAGAGCCTGTAATATGGAACAAACATATGCATAGATAATGGCGCAGGGATGAGCTGCAAAACCCCGAGAACAAATCAAGGTGTCAAATAAGGATGTCCAATGTCACCAGCTCTTTTTAACATGTACATTGACAATGTCATTGGACTATGGCAGGATACTTTACATAAAAATTTTATAATAGGAAATACCTTTCTAAACACCATTTTATTTGCAGACGATAAGGCTATGTTCAGTGGAACAGAAACAGATCTCCAAATTGCAGCCAATAAACTGAATGAAATTGCAAGACAGCATTATGAAAATCTCTGGGACAAAATCCAAGACAGGGGACTAATGTGTTGTACTGCCAAAAAGGAGACATAGATATTAAATTAAGTAAGTTTTATAGAATGTGCGGAACAATAAGCTGTACATTAAAGGGCAAGACCCTGAAAGAAACACAAATGAAATTTTACAAACTGATGGCAGTACCAGTACTAACATATGGTTGTGAGAACTGGGCAACCAATAGGGCTGATAAGAGGAAAATCAAGACAGCGGAGATGAAATTCTTACGCTTGGTAGCGGATGTAACTCTTCTGGATAAACAGCGTAGCGAAAAAATTAGGACAGAACTGAAGATTTTTAACTTAACAGATAGGATATCTCAAATGAAGCAAAATTGGCATAACCATATCCAAAGGATGCATGAGGAAAGAATCCCGAAGGTGGTACTTCAATACAATCCACAAGGACGAAGAACTGTTGGCCCACCATTAACAAAGTGGCAAGATTCACTTTCTTGATGTAGAAACAGGCGCTATGGCCTAAATCCATGAAAGAAGAAGAAGAAATAAGTTTCAATTAAAATTTACAATTAGAAACTGACTCCCTTTGGATTTCACTTTTACCCATTAGTACTTAATTATAGTTTATTAAGATTATCAGCCTTTGTATAGTCAGATCAGCTGTTTATTGAAGTAGCATAACGTTAAGTAGTGATGTCGAGCTTAAATCCCTTTTCTAACACAATACAGGGAAATACAAACAAGTCACAAGTGACTTGATGATGTTGGTGCATTAATATCTGGATTTCTGAGTTTTTGAACTTACCCATCATCTGGTATTCTAAAAAACATATTTTGAAAATTGGATCTGGTATTGCCCCTCTTCCCTAGAACTGAGGGTCACAAAAAATGAACTTTTTGATACGGTATGTTATTTAGAATGCCAGATGATGGATAAGTCCAAAATGTTGGTAATCCAGATCAACTCTGATTGTCCAGATTTTTATTGTCCAGTCAGAGAATTTGTTCATAGTGTAATAAATCCGTCATCTTTGATACAGTTTGATCTCTGACGTTTGTGAGTGGTGTGGGCTGTCAGAGTCATGCTTGAATTATCAGATTGAGGGGAGAGTGATAATTTTGTCTTACTGAATGAAGATCTAAAGAAGTCAGGGGAAAAGTTGAAACATTTTAATTCTGTAGGCCACAACCCACAAATAAATATATTTATAATTAAAGTGCTCAGAAGTCTGTTTATATGATGTAGGCTTTAAAATATTCTGATCTACATGAAAATTGAAATGCCTCAACAGTCTTTCATAAAACTTTTCTGTGTTACATATCCAAATCAGTTCCTTGCGAAGCTGGCGCACCATCACATTGAAGATAGGACCATGGCTTTGTCTACCTTGCAGGAACACCCCAGTTAGAACCTCGGTGGACTCCAAATGGACAGATACATGGCAGAACACACTCTCCTAAATGGATGTAACTCTGAGGTAAGGGTCAGTCACTAAGAAGTTGGGAAACACCCTTCAATTTGAATGTCAGGAAATTTCCCAGGTACCAGACAAAGGGTTATGAGTACAAAAAGATAATGTCCTCAGAAGATCAAAGCTGTTTTCTGGGAAGTGCTCATGTGTTATTCTTATTGCTTTAAAAATATTCATTTTTGTTGTTCTAATATTGATAAGAAGTAAGGCCCAAGGGGAAGGTGTTTGTTAATAGATAATATAAAATAAAAATCAGCAAAACGTCATTCGTAATTTGTGAAAATACACACCATTGCCATTGCCACAGCAATTTTATTCCACTTGAAATTATCTCTACTGCACTGAGATCTGTGATGTCTGCCCACTCACGAGGCGCGTGCGTTTATGAAGTATGGAGTACTCATTTCTTTGTTTGCGACATAATGAGAGGCTTCCATTTGCCCAGCCCTTCACATATCTTGAACATTCGACACATGAAGCCACCTCTGAAGTGTCTGAATTCCTATGGAAGCCAGTTAGTGCTTTTGAACCCTTCAAGACACTCATTTACTATCTACCCATGCAGAATTTGCTCTTATTAAATCACTGCATCAACCAAAATACAGGATCTTCACCATTGAGGAGTTTCTGCTGGGGCCTACTTCATTCGTAATTAACTGGGCCAGTGTGTCCAAGTAACTTGCTGTCACAGGAGCAAACTTTCCACTAAACATCTAGTACACTGTTCATGTCATTTTACAGTGACTAGAAGCTTTTTTGGGGGGCCCCTCAAATATTTTAAGAAGTATTGAAAAACAGACTAAGTAATTTGAGGCCAGAAGCTGTTACTTGACTGGCATTCCGCGATACTGTTAGATCAGTTTCCACCACATGACAATACACGTATTTTCTAATAGGAATTCAATGGGACACATCAACTTCTGCTGATATTAATTTTTTGGGCTATAATATAAATACTATAAAAGCAAACACAGAAACACTCTTGAGGGCCAGAAGGAGTGTTGGTCTAGAAATAAATGCAGAAAAGAAAAAGTATGTGAAAATGTCTTGGCATCATAATTTCTGGACAGAACCAGAACATAAAGATTGCTAATGACTCATTAGAAAATGTAAAAAAATGCAAGTACCTGGGGATGACACAAGTCTGAATGACTCATGACGAAATCAAGACCGGATTGAATTCAGGGAATGTTTGCTATCATTCATTCGGAAATGTTTTTTCCACCGCGTCTCATATAAAAGAAACTAAAGATTAAAATATAGAAAAGTATAATTTTGTGAGTTGTGCTGTATGGGTGCAAAACTTGGTCTCTCACTTTGAGGGAGGAACACAAATTGAGGGCCTTTGAGAACAGTGTTGAGGAGGATATTTGGACCTAAAAGGGAGGGGACAGATCATGAAGAAAACTGCATAATAATGAGCTTCATGGCCTGTACTCTTCACCTGATATTGGTAGGGTGATTAGATCGAGGGGGATGAGATGGGCAGGACATGCAGCACTCATGGAGGAGAGGAAGAATGTTTACAGGTTATTGGTTAGGAGGCCTGAGGGAGGAGGCTACTGGGAAGACGTATTTGTTGATGGGAGGATAAGGTTAACCTGCACCTTTGGGAGATTGGAATTGTAACCGTCCTTTCACTCCAAACTCTCCATCAGGACGCCCGGCTGGTTACAAGGGGTTTTGTGTTGGGTTTCGTTTGGTAGCTCAGGGCATGGACTCTTGCCTTCAAGGAATATACGGGTTGGTGAAGAGGGGTTTCGGGATCAACTTGTGAGGCAGTGGAATAAGAGGGGATGTCGTTCAGTTATAAATTGTGTATTCGTTCACTTTCATCAGGCACGTTTATTAATTTCGTACTTTCCCTCGCCGAGTGCAGGACTACTCGCCGCCGAGACTAAAGCGTAAGTGAGTTTTTGGAAGCCCCTTGCTGGACGCACACCGCGTTCAGCAAGACTCCCCCAAGACTTTTGAATCTCAAGAGATTGTTCTCATTGGCTGAGTGGTTTATCACCCATATCTTACAAATTTGCCGCCGATAGCTTATTTTAAACTAAAGATTAAAATATAGAAAAGTGTAATTTTGTGAGTTGTGCTGTATGGGTGCAAAACTTGGTCTCTCACTTTGAGGGAGGAGCACAGATTGAGGGCCTTTGAGAACAGTGTTGAGGAGGATATTTGGACCTAAAAGGGAGGGGACGGATCATGAAGAAAACTGCATAATTATGAACTTTGTGGCCTGTACTGCTCACCTGATATTGGTAGGGTGATTAGATCGAGGGGGATGAGATGGGCAGGACATGCAGCACACATGGAGGAGAGGAGGAATGTTTCCAGGTTATTGGTTAGGAGGCCTGAGAGAGGAGGCCACTGGGAAGACTTAGTTGTTGATGGGAGGATAAGGTTAACCTGCACCTTTGGGAGATTGGAATTGATGGAGTGAACCGTCTCAGGATGGAGTCTGGTAGAGGGATTTTGTGGACATGGTGATGAGCCGTCGGTTTCCATAAAGAAAGTAGGCTATTCCGTGACAGGCCGAGTATACAGTTGACTTTTCAAAGAATTTCCTGCACCATAGAGTGAGTATTTTATGGGCATGAAACTTTGTCTCTTCCACTAAGGGGAGGATGCAGAGTGAGGGTTTTTGAGAACAGGGTGTTGTGGGGAATGTTTGCACTCAAGAGGGTTGAACTAGCAGGAGGTTGGAGAAAGTTGCATAAAGAGGAGCTTCATAAGTTTTATCCCTCGCGAAATATGAGAATGATCAGGTCGAGGAGGATGAGGTGGGCAGGGTATGTAACCTGCATGAGAGAGAAGCTTGTTAAGGCAATTAATACAATCTGAATGCAGGACTGTTCAGACGAGTTAAAGCCTGTGGAACGCTGTATGCCTGTTGAAATCTGAACTAACATAACCAAACTTGGCAGTTGCAGCCTGTCTAGGAGAGTCTAACCCTATCCAAAATGGTCTGCACGTCTTCAATCCTGAATATCATTTAAACTTTAAATTTTAAAGTATTTGTAATTTTTAAAGATGTAAATGTCAAACTCTGCAAAATGTAGAACATCGTGTTCTATCGAAATTTTGTTAACTAACTAGATGGCTTACCGAATCCGAAGGTTCATCTCCGAATTAACCAAAGCCCTCCAACAAAATCCAGTTTCCTTCATCTCCTATCTCCCATAGATCCCGCCTGACATTATCCTCCCATCTACGTCTAGGTCTCCCCAGCGGTCTCGTCCCCTCAGGCTTCCCAACCAATACGAAATTATGTTAACTTACTGATTTTAAAATTATAAGAATTCTAATAATTTTCAAGCTTCTCATGAGTAATTTCGTGCATTCGACAATACGATTCGATACGGTAAAAGTTGGTTGCGTGTGGGTAATCTTTGCTCTTTAAGTTTCCTACCCTGTCTTAGGGTAGATGTTGTTTGTCATGTGTCCCTGAATTCAGTATTAGCTAGCGTGGGCTAGTGTGTTGATTTAATGCGTTTGCTGGCTGGCAGGTGTTTGTGTTAGTAGAATTTACAGAAACTGTTTTATATTAGGCAGCAGTGTGATCGCAAAAAGCAGTTGCCTCTGAAACATTAGTTAATGAAGGCTTGCGTTTTATTACAGTGCATTCTGCATAAGCTTCTTATAACATTGGTGCGTAAGACATCGATGTCGCGGATTGGTTGAGTTACAATCTACACACACAATTTGATTGAACAAGATTTATTGATCGTTTTTGGAAGATTTTTCCGGTCGGTGTGTATGACGCGCTGAACGGACTGAAACATTTTAACCTTGCTTAATGAACTGCGAACTGTGAAACAGCACGCAATCGATG